CTCAAAATCTTCTGGTGCCTTATATAAACATGGAGCCTACTGGTAGATGACCTTGTTTCCAGAAGGGCACATTGTGGAGCATAGTATTAGTGTGGGAAAATGAGAAAACCATTTCCAGAGCCGGTGGTGGAAAATATCCCTTTGACTCAATAGACAGCCAGTACATTGTACATACTACAGGTACAAGTTCCCCATCAGGACCATGTGCTACAACAGTCACAAGACCAGCAGAAATAGACCCCAGAATCATAATGAGAGCAAAATTTGAATTCTGAAGGTGTACCACATGCCCATTCCCATATTTGGTAACCCATTACATAATGTAGTGATGCCATAGTGAGCTTGTGGTGCTCCGGGGATCACCTGATTTTTCCTTGATTTTTCAGCATTTCTTCCCATTTTATATGAGCTGCAAATTACTGCCCTGTGGGTACCTGTGGACGCTCCATGCTATTTATAGCTCTAATAATGTGGAACCTAGGCTCAGCAACATATTCCTATTTTTCCGCCATTTTTCGGATTTTTCCGGGCCCTGCAGCTGCAGAATTAGAGGATCTGCTATTAATAGCCCCCTGGACCTTTCCCCGGGGATACAGATCCATCCCCGATCCCAGTCATCAAGCCGGGATGCCGGGGCAGCCAGGTTCAAACCCAGCTGGCACCTCTCGGGCCTGCAGAGCATAATGCATTACACCCTCATCACAATGCCTGGGTAATGTAATACATTTTGTCATTGCAATAGAGCATATTCACTGTGGTAATTACCACAGCGTGGGGCCAATGGGGTCGCTTGAATCCATCAAAATTCCCTTACTTGGAGCTCCACCCGTAGTAATTACCACACCAAATATGCTCTAATGCATCCATAATGCATTATTATTACAGCAGCGGCTGATTAGTCATGTCAAGTTTTGCAAATATCTTACCCTTCGCGCAATCCGACAGGATATCATCCACACGTGGGAGCGGGTGGCGGTCAGGTACTGTATTTGCGTTCAGTTCCCGGTAGTCATTCACCCAACGCGGCAGCACGGTCAGGTCGGACTTGGGGACAAGGAACGCCGGGGAGCAGTATGGCGAGGACGATGGATGCATTCAGCCAGCAGCGAGATGTTGTTCGAGAAGTACGCGCCAAGTGTCACGGTATTTCTTCGGGCAAGAATATTCCTGCATCTGAATGACCTTGTTGGGATCCTTGAGACGGATACAATGATAGACGTCCGAGGGCAGGTTATCTAAGTGTGGGATATCATCTGGGAAACAGTCAGCGTAGCGGTGCTTGTATAGTCAATGTCTAACGCCTTGAGAGTTTTAGCAGCATCGAGCTTTTCGATACGATCACGAACGGCAGCCACCATATTAAACTCCTTCAAGGGTTCGCAACGTGCGTCCACCGCCGCTCGGTGGGGAAGCAATTGAGCCTTCAGCTCTGCAACAACATCGTTGTGCAACAGCTTATAATCCCAAGGAGGAGGAGGAGGAGGGGTAACATGAACTCTAGGATTCAATAGGTCATAACCACATGACTTGTCCATACATGTACAGTCTTCATGGTCAAGAACAAGGTGATTGTGAGAAAGGAATGGTCCACCGAGAAGGATATCAGAACACAAATTGGGAACCACAACTGCTTCGAAACGACGGGAGTGCCAAACATTATCAGAAGAGGACAGGGACAGTTTGATAAAGTCCACGAGCTCGTACTCCATGGGAGGTCCTTCAGACATAGCGAGGGTGCAATGGATAGGACGCTTCATGCGCGATGGTATCAGTCCCAGGCGCTGTACGAGATGGTCTGATATCAGTACCATGTGTGCACCGCTATCCAACAGGCCAGAGATAGGAACAGGAAACTCGTGGGCAGGCCCAGAGATAAGGCAAGAAAAGATAAAATGAGAGGTAGAGAGAGGTGCGCACTCGGGCTCAGAATCAGATTCATCCCCTAGAACACACGTAGGCATTATTACGGTGATCGGATGTTGTCAGACCAAGAAATTGTTTGAATGCAAAATGCTTAAAACATGGTGGCTGACAATATTCAACAACAGGGGAGACATCTACCGCAGCTACTTCGCACTTGCAAGACAGCTTGGAATGTACCCAGACCACCATGAAGCCATGCAAGATTACCTCCTCTTGGAACGATGGGGGAGGACATTTACTACTCCACTCTCTCGCTTGCCAGGAGTCAGCTGAGGCTGGCAGAATGCCATCGGGCCACTGATCAGTAAAGGGGAAGTGACTGGATCTGACAAAAAGAAGGGAATGACTTGGGTTGAGTAGGAATTTCATAGTTTTGGGTTGTGGAGTCATTTTGAGTCCTGTTGACTCAACCTGACTCATCTTTTCTCTCACACTAGCACTGACCTGTGTTGCCTCCCATTTCATATTGTCTTTAAGTAGCAGTATGACTCACATGTAGTCAAAGGCCTGCTAGAGTATAAAAAGGGAACAGTATGTAGGGACAGGGCAGGCTATCTATCCTTGCCATTTACCAACATTTGATCTCTTGAGCCCTCTTCAGCTGTGAAGAAGCTCTACTGTTTTCTTGGATTTGTGAAGTACTTGCTGAAGTCCTTCACTGATCTACTCTTGCTCTCTTATCATCCTCTGCCAGCTCTAGTAGTTGACTCTCACTCTTCCTTTTGCTTGACAACAGGAGCCTACCCTCAAGAACATTGAGGAGTCTAGCTTGACCAAGGACAAGTCCAGCTACTTCTCTTAGGATTTTTCCCCCTTTCTAGGACCTGGATTTTTTTGGGTGTTTAGTTAGGTAGCAAAGTCCTGCTGACAACATGTAGGTCCATCGTCGTCGACGTCCTCGATGGTAGCGGTATTGATGGCCGCAACCGGTCAAGGTGCGTGGGTCGAGGGGCCTGTGGTGGACGATTTCAGGTGGACCGGCACATCTGCCTCGGTGAGAGGCTTGTACTGGGCAGGGTCCGGTCGTTCGGTGCACATCGCCCGCCTGTGGTTAACACCGAATTTCCAACAGTTGAAACATCCACTATACTTCATGAGGAGCGCACGCTCAGCATCTGTGAGGCCAGGGAGCCTGGCCGTGTTGCCAGTGAAGGGCATTGGGCGAGAGGTGTATGTAGTTGTCGACATGGAGGAGGTAACAATGGGGGGCGTTGTCACTGACCTTGTCGGTGGACAGCGTCCGCGATGGCCTCGGTCTGGTTCCGTTTGTCATGAGCGTGTTCTTCGTCGAGCAGGCGGACTGCGTTGATCCAGGGCTTAAAGGCAAGGGCCTTGAGCTCCCGCGTGTCCTTCTTGCAGTACCGTTTGGTCTCGGCGTTCATGTGCACTTCGAAATGGAACCTCAGACTTTGATTGGTCAGATGGGACGTCGTTTCTTTGAGCAGAGAGTTAGTGGATTGGATACGGTTTACCCAATTCCAGAAGAGCTCGTTGTTCTGGGTCGACTTGAGGATCTCTTTCTGGGTCGACTTGAGGATCTCTTCGCGCAGGTCATCCTCCCAATCGTCGCGGAGATAGAGGCTCTTCATTTCGGTGATGCATGCATCGAGGGTGAGGCGGTCGATGCGGTCTTGGTCCGATCGGTACCAATCGGCCAGGCAGTCGTCTTGCATACCCCAGGCAACGCGGCTGACCTGCTTGTTGGCATCGAGCTCCTTGTGCATAGCATAGATGTGGCACGTGTAGTACCATTTGCATAGGATGACGGGTGTGAGGTCACCAGGCATTAGGGTTGGAGGAGACTTTGGCATCGCCTGTTGTACCGTCGCGAGACCTGTTTCACTGTTCAGCATTGTTGTCAACGGGATATCGTCATCTGAGCTCGAGGAGTCGGAGGTTTGGGTACTTGGTGTGGGTGATGGAACGGGTGGTGGTGGAGGCGAGGGTGAACGGGACAGTCTGTGGGCGTCGTCGAACAAGTCTTCTGGTCCGAGTCCGGAGGGAACTGATGACAGCGATGATGGGGCAGAGGTGCTGGATTGATGGTCCAACTGCGTGGGTGCGAGACGAGCGCGGATCTCCAAACGAGTCGAGACACAGGCAGGGATCATGGGGAGACTAGGGGGGGATGACAGTTTGACTGGGGGACTGGGGGGGACGTACAACTCGGTTCCTTTGGTAGTTCCTACTGCGAAGGAACATTCAAAGAAAGTGGAAGGCCGCCAAGGCCTCACTAGCCAGAGACGTTGTTGAGACTTAAGACATGTAGCAGAACGTAGAACACAGCGTATGATTTAGCACGAAGTGGGTAAAAGGGAAAAGTAAAGTACAAGTAGAGAATCACCACCTTACAAGGCGAGCGAGCAGACAGAATGAACCACTATTGGAACAGGCCAATCAGAGGCCTTGATCCCGAAGCTCTATGATGATTGCTTCCGCGGATCGACCGATAAGATCGTGGCATAAACGCCCACGATTACAGTGGGGGATGCTCTCTAGGACCCCTCCTCGAACCTGGGGGGGGCACTGTGATATGCATAGTTAGACGACTTAGGATCGAGGAGGTCCCGGAGGTACTGGTACATGTGCTCTGCTTATGTAATCCACTTTTTCACCTTATGTTCTCATCATCTATCCTTCTGCTATCTTGTTTCCCTCACTTTTCTCTACTTTCTAGCTATTCCCTTCTGTCTCATTCTGTCTTAGATTTCTTCTTATCTTTACCACTTAGTGCTATTCCCATATCTGTCATCAATCTATCTTGTCTTGGTCTACTACCTGGTTCGAACACTTGGTGACTTACGAGGCTCGACGCCTCAATACCGGCTGTATTACAAAGACAGTACAGATGCACACAGTAGCACAACTGATTCTGAGGCTGACTTGAACCAATGAGGCTCTCTGGTATTTAGAGGGTCTCTTATTATTGGGGGGTCTCTTTTTAAGACTGTCTACTGAGCTCCTTATATACCCTACAGTATTTTGAAATTCATAACAATAGGGTGGGAGAATTGCCTGGTTACTAGAGAGAATGGTGTACAATAGTGTGAGAAAATAGGATGAGTCAGCTAGCTTGAGGACTCATGATTGGTCCTTGAGCATAGGCTGAGTCAACATGACTCATCTCTATAAATAGAAGGGAATAGTATAAGTCATATTGACATAGAATGAGTCATATCCACATAGCATGAGTCATATGTAAGGGAGTGAGTCATAAAGGCATGGAATGAGTCATATGGACATAGAATGAGTTATATCAAGGGAAAACAGTGGAATGTCTCGGATCCTCCTAGAATACTCTGCTCCCTGAATATTCTCACACTCCTCCTGCTTTGATGCTGCACCAAAACCGTTCTCCTTGCAATAACAAGTGTTTTGCAGGATTGAAGTCAATGTTGTATATGTCTTCATTGTTGATTCCCAGCCAGTTATTGAAGATACTGACCACCAAACCTTCCATTACTGATCTGTATATTCCAAATATAGTGGCTTGAAGCTGGTACTGGTGGTACAGTTCAGGCCTGGAAGGGATATGTTCAGCACTGATATGCACAGACACACAACAATCACCAAGGACCAAAAGAAACAAATAAACCTAACACCAGTGGTATGGGTGGAGGCGGTCTGAGACAACTGAGGGGTATTTTAATAGTTCGAGGGGGAAGGAGGAGTAAGATGACATAGAGTAGTCCATAGGAAGACCTAGAAAAATAAAACAAACACTTTGACACCTGAAACAAATGCTAGTTGATGCTCCTGAGTATTTATCTCCGAAAAGTCACAATCAAAGTCTAACCAATAATGATGATGTCATTGCCATTTGCTCTGGCATCATTTGACTTGTTCTTGAAAGCTGCAGGATAGAGCATATTCGGTGGAAGAAATACCAGCGAATTTTAGGACTAGACTAAGCTTTGGTTTGGAATAAGGCGTCCTCTCCACAATTGCGATGGCAGACACCACTGCACCATGGAAGTTGCCTAGAAAGGTGACAAAATGAATACTTGTGGCTAGAAAAGGCAAGATGTCGATGGAATCATCTCCAAACCGGGTCTTTTGCTGTCCCCAGCATCTGAGCTTTGGAATACCAGCTCACCATTCCAAGAATAAGGTTTTGTGGTATATCCTCCACCGAATATGCTCTGATAAGCAAGAGGCAGATGTGCTCTGTTTTTGAAGTAGTAGGGAGTAAGTAGAATACCCTGAAGATCAGGTACATTGCTATACTGAAGGGGTTTCAGCAGGGCAAAATGGGGATTTATGCACATTTTTTGTTTTGACCCCCGGTCTGGCAGCTTACTGCCCCCATACTGAGAGCTGTCTCATGTAGTTACTTCTGGCAGTCAAGCACCCCTCATATGGTGGTACATAATGTGTCTTCAGCAGTGGGTGTTGTCATGTGTCCTTTTGATGAATCTGCAAATGGGACACCAAAAAGGACACCTCCTTTGCCCACCATGAAACCCCTTGACCCCCAGTGAGAAACGACAAAATTTACATGATTTTACAGAGAATTATATGTATTGTGTCAAAGTAATTGGCTGCAAACTTCTTTAAATTCCAGAATGACCGTTTAAATTCGCTGCCGGGAATTTGTCTGAATTGAGTTGAAGGAGTCTTAAGCGCGACAAGTGTCCGAGCTGTCAGTCCATCTAGGACGTATAAGGCTGGTAGCGCCGCCCTCCGGGCGGCAAGGCCCGCTACCTTGGGTGGGGGATCGGGAATAGATGTTGTAGGGCGTATTTGTTACTCAAGCTTGCATGTATTGGGTTTTTTCCTTCACAGATTTATTGCTGTTTGACTGTTAATGGTGTCTCTATGCGTCTACTACTGACATGGCATGAGAAGGCGACCGAGAACACAAGCATCAGTCTCGCTGACCTAGTGTTGCCACGGCACGGCTCGAGCCGGCATGCCGTGCCGGACCGAACAGCGGCTCGAGCCAGAATTTGCGAGCCAATGAGAGCGGCACCTTTATTCTTGTGTCGGCTCGTAGCCGTTGATGGAGCGGCTCTCCGCGGCTACGGACCGCTCGAGCTACAGCTCGAGTTGCCTAATCTAGCTACCGTGTTATCTGTCGATGAACGTCGATTGACGCGACGTAGACGCGTCTGCCGCTAGCTCTGCGTCGCGCGTGCTAGGTTAAGGAACATGGACTGGTGTACCGGAGATCTATAGATGTGATCTCTGTCTGAATACATGTGACTTGTGCGATATGACGCCCACAACACTTTGAACCGGCAGTTCGTAACACGTTTTCTCTTATCGCCTACCATCTTGCCCAAGAAATGCACCTCATGGTATCGAGGTATGTCTGCAGATCAGATAATGATGTGTACAAGATATAGGATGGCCAAGTGTGCCCCGCGATGATATGCACTGACACACAACAATCACCAAGGACCAAAGGAAATAAACCTAAACCCCGTGATATGGGTGAAGGCGGTCCGAGACAACTGAAGGGTATTTAATAGTTCGAGGGGGAAAGGAGGAGTAAGACGTCGTAGGGTAGTCCGTAGGAAGACCTAGAAAAATAAAACAAAACCTTGACGCCTGAAACAAACACTAAGGGACGCTCCGGAGTATTTATCTCCGGAAAGTCGCAGACAAAGTCGCAAACCACGAAACCGAGTGTAGGTTCGGGCCCACGGGAGTAGAAATTGCTAGAGAAACTTGGTTAATTTTATTTCGCTATGTGAGACTCACCGGAGCTAATTGGATCGATGGCGGAGATAATTCACTCGACGAGTCAGGCCTATTGGCAAAGCTAAGATCGGTTATAATTCGCTAAGTTCGACGCTTTCGAACTTCTCGGGTCGCTGAGATCGTAACTCTAATTCTCTGAGATGGTGAAGTCGAAACTTGTTTTTCTGTACGCTACTTTGTACAATTTATACTACAGGAATGGCTTTGCGACCGTCCGGAGATAAATAACAAATAACCGCCGCT